TCCTAGGTATTTTATTCTCTTTGTAGCAGTTGTGAATGGGAGTTCACTCATGATTTGGCTCTCTTATTATTGGTGTATAGGAATGCTTGTGATTTTTGCACATTGATTTTGTATCCTGAGACTTTGCTGAAGTTGCTTATCAGCTTAAGGAGATTTTGGGCTGAGACAATAGGGTTTTCTAAGTATACAATCATGTCATCTGCAAACAGAGACAATTTGACTTCCTCTCTTCCTATTTGAATCCCGTTTATTTCTTTCTCTTTCCTGATTGCCCTGGCCAGAACTTCTAATACTTCCAATACTGTGTTGTCTTGTGCCAGTATTCAAAGGGAATGCTTCCAGCTTTTGCCCATTCAGTGTGATATTGGCTGTGGGTTTGTCATGAATAGCTCTTATTGTTTTGAGATATGTTCCATCGATACCTGATTTATTGGGAGTTTTTAGCATGAAGGGGTGTTGAATTTTATCGAAGGCCTTCTGCATGTATTGAGATCATCATGTGGTTTTTGTCATTGATTCTGTTTATGTGATGGATTACATTTATTGATTTGAGTATGTTGAACTAGCGTTGCATCCCAGGGATGAAGCCACCTTGATCGTCATGGATAAGCTTTTTGATGTACTGCTGGATTCGGTTTGCCAGTACTTTATTGAGAATTTTTGCGTTGATGTTCATCAGGGATATTGGCCTGAAATTTTCTCTTTTTGTTGTGTCTCTGCCAGATTTTGGTATCAGGATGATGCTGGCTTCATAAAATGAGCTAGGGAGGAGTCCCTTTTTAAAAATTGTTTGGAATAGTTTCAGAAGGAATTATACCAGCCCCTCTTTGTACCTCTGATAGAATTTGGCTGTGAATCCATCTGGTCCTTGGCTTTTTTTTTTTTTGATTGGTAGGCTATTAATTACTGCCTCGATTTCAGAACTTATTATTGGTCTATTCAGGGATTTGACTTCTTCTTGGTTTAGTCTTGGGAGGGTGTATATGTCCAGGAATTTATCCATTTCTTCTAGATTTTCTAGTTTATTTGCAAAGAGGTGTTTATAGTATTCTCTGATGGTAGTTTGTATTTCTGTGGAATCAGTGGTGATATCCCTTTTATCATTTTTTATTATGTCTATTTGATTCTTCTGTCTTTATTAATCTGGCTAGCAATCTCTTTTGTTAGTCTTTTCAAAAAACAAGCTCCTTGATTCATTGGTTTTTTGAAGGGTTTGCTGGAAAGGATATGGAGAAATAGGAACGCTTTTACACTGTTGGTGGGAGTATAAATTAGTTCAACCATTGTGGAAGACAGTGTGGCGATTCCTCAAGGATCTAGAACCAGAAATACCATTTGACCTAGCAATCCCATCACTGGGTATATACCCAAGGGATTATAAATCATTCTATAAAGACACATGCACACATGTGTTTATTGCAGCACTGTTCACAATAGCAAAGACTTGGAACCAACCCAAATGCCCATCAGTGGTAGACTGGATAAAGAAAATGTGTCACATATACCACGGAATACTGTGCAGCCATAAAAAAGGATGAGTTCGTGTCCTTTGCAGGGACATGGATGAAACTGGAAACCATCGTTCTCAGCAAACTAACACAGGAACAGAAAACCAAAGACCGCATATTCTCACTCATAAGTGGGAGTTGAACAATGAGAACACGTGGACACAGGGAGGGGAACATCACACACTGGGACCTGTTGGGGGCTGGAGAATGAGGGGAAGGATAGTATGAGGAGAAATACCTAATATAGATGATGGGTTGATGGGTGCAGCAAACCACCATGGCACGTGTATACCTATGTAACAAACCTGCATGTTCTGCACATGTATCCTAGAACTTAAAGTATAATAATAAAAAAAAAAAAATGAGATTTCCAAGAAACTTTGTACTTTCTTTGAGCCGTTGAAATCAGGCAACAGATGAATAAATTAGGCAAGTGAGAGGCAGTGGCTTTACAGGAAAAAGATCAGCTATAATTCAGCTTAGACATCCCTGTGACTATGACCCAGTGATTTTTATTACTAATTGGCCAGTAATTTCTGATGCGTAGTAGCTTACTACCTAATGAGTTGATTCGTCTGTTGGACAGAATCCATTGTTAGAAAATTCTTTCTTGCCGGGCGCGGTGGCTCAAGCCTGTAATCCCAGCACTTTGGGAGGCCGAGACGGGCGGATCATGAGGTCAGGAGATCCAGACCATCCTGGCTAACCCAGTGAAACCCCGTCTCTACTAAAAAATACAAAAAATTAGCCGGGCGAGGTGGCGGGCGCCTGTAGTCCCAGCTACTCGGGAGACTGAGGCGGGAGAATGGCGTGAACCCGGGAGGTGGAGCTTGCAGTGAGCTGAGATCCGGCCACTGCACTCCAGCCTGGGCGACAGAGCGAGACTCCGTCTCAAAAAAATAAAAAAAATAAAAAAAAAAAAAAAAAATAAAAAAAAAAAAAAAGAAAATTCTTTCTTTTGCTGATCTGAAATCTATATCTTTTGTTACTGGCCCTTGCTTTGTTTTTTTTTGGGGGGGGCATAATACTTAGTAGGCCTGTTGGTTGTATTGCCCCATTAGGATTTACTTCTTCAGCTTAAATGTCTCTAGTGTCCTTCGTCTTCCTCCATATGACATGGGTTTTGAAACCTTTATCATCTTGATTATCCTTCCCTGAGTGTAATTTATCAGCATTTCTCTTAAAATGCAAGACCCAGAGCTAGTAACTGATCATGTTTCACTTAATCTGCCAGTGTGAGAGGTTACATAGTAAAATGTAAAAAAATTTGCATTTTAGGGCAGACTATATCATTAATTGTTAGTCACTTTGAACCTAGTTTTCCTCAAATAGAAGATTATCCAACACTAATAAAAGATGAGTAACAAAGCTTTCTCGATATGGGAAATTTTGATATTAGTAAAAAGAAGTGAAAATATTTTGCTTTCATGAGAAAAAAAGTATATCAACCTTCATGCTAAAAATCAAATTCTTGCTAATGTTGACGTTAGTCAACTCATATGAAAATCTAAGGAAAGAATTGTAAGATCATTTCAGTGACATTGCACTTAGTATTATTTATGTACACTTAATAATATCATGGGGGAGGTTAGCTTTATTGCCTTTCATAGTTTCCTTTAGGTGTTGCGTTTAATCTAGCTGTTTATATTTGACGTCTATATTCTAATTTAAGTATTTGTTATGAAGAATAACTGTCACTCATTTTACTGATTTCCTGGTATGACCAAATTTATCTTAGTTTTCCTAAGTCTGTTTTTTATAACCTCACCATTTTGATTTGAAAACATTTCCAGAATCTTGTTTGTGGTACTCGGTCTGTATTCAAGTCTCATGTGTACCACTGAGAAACCTTGGGTTCTCGGGCAGGTCATTTAACTGGCCTATACACACACTTCTCCTTCTGCGTAGTGAGAGGCTTTTACTTCTTAGATTCTCCTCCTCTACCCCATCCTCTATAGGAGCCAGAAGAAATCCAAACTCACCTCTGCCCATATCTTCAACCTCTTTCTTCTGTGTAATACCTTTTATCTATCCTGGCTGCTCAGGTTTTTTCACAGCACTTCACAGTTTATGTGTGTTTTTGCTTTATTTACTTGTTGTTTGTTTCCCCCTCTGGACTAGATGCTTGATGGGGGCAGATAATGTATTTTCATTCACTGCTCTAAAACCTGATACGCAATAACGTGTTGCACGTAAAAGATGCGCAAAAAATCCTGTGATACTGCTATTACTTTCAGATAGGCATGCAGCTTTTTCTTTCTCCTGATGTAGTGTTTATTAAGTTCTTTCCGGCCACCTGGACATTCATATTAAAATGAAATTTTAACTATGTAAATATAAATTACAATGCCATATGAAGGCTCAAGCTCCAGATGTGTCAGTTTCTGTTGTATCCTTTGTTGATACATTTCTAGAATAGTTTTAAAATGATTACAGAATGTTCCTAGTGATTTGTTGTTTGCATATGACTTGGTAGCCTTGGCCTGTCCGTACTATAAAATGTGACTCTAGCCTAAGCTTAAGTATGTTGATGTATTTGTTGTGTAGGTGCCAAAAATTTACTCCTTTTAATAGTGTCAGTATTGATATCTGTCATCTGGAATGCAAGAATCTTCCTGAAAATTTGCTAATAAATGTAATGCTACTGCCATACTGCCCAGAAATAATTTGTGTTTTTTTTGGGTGAAGTACCAGAATACCGTTTGGTCACTTACCTAGTGGCTTAAAGGAACCAGAGCATCTATCCAAAGGAGCCATTTAGTTTCCTCCCAGCACTTATGATTGAGCCTTTTTTGACTGTTTCAGAAGTGAGATTAGAGAAGTTTGTCTTGTTCTTTTGTCTCTTTTGAGGTTGAAGTTTAGGAGATTGACTCATTTTGGCCATTTTCTTGTTTCATTTTTACTGTAGGCAGTAACTGGGGCTAAAGCTCTGGGGAGGCACTTGGCTATGCTTGCTGAAGTATTTCCATAGTTGGACTGTCTCTGGCAAATAAGTAAATTTCATTTAAAGCTTTTCAAAGCTGTGTAAATCTTGGCAGAACCCCATAGAAAGCATAGCATATAGTTCCTTTTAAAACAACTATATTATTAAATGAAGAATTTGGGGAAAGCATATTGCTTTAATGGTCTTAATACCATTTAAAAAGATCCTTCTACATTAATATTCAAAATGTTTTCTAGTAGTGGTGGAAATCTTCTGCATCTACTAGTTCAAAGGTAGGCTTTCCCAGTCTTTTGGGATCTAGCAAGGATGTTTAGTCTTACCTGCAACTGTCCCTGCAAGAATGTAGATTTGAAGTTTTTAATAAAGTTGACCAGTTCATGTATTTCTGATGAATTAAATAGAGGAGAATGGCATTTGAGTAATCAGAAAATACTACCTTAAAATAATAAAATTTTGAAAGTGATGGCATTATAATGTTTTCAAAGCGTAATGATGTTAACTAAATTATCCAGTTACTGACTAGTACTTTTTTTTATACCTATCCCCAGGGAAGGAAGAATATGCAAGACGGTGCAAGTGATGGTGAAATGCCAAAATTTGATGGTGCTGGTTATGATAAGGACCTGGTGGAAGCCCTTGAAAGAGACATTGTATCCAGGAATCCTAGCATTCATTGGTTAGAGTCTTTGAAATTATTGAATTAAAGTAGAGGAGAACACAAGTTATAGGTTGGCTTGGTGTGAGTTTTCTCTTGTTATTCATTAATCTGATTATGACCACCTCTGTAATGTGAAAGTATAGAATTGACGGGAGAGTTCTGTCGAATGTAACCAGGACATTTTACATGTTAATTTGAAGTTGATATATAACTGACAAAAGTTGTTAATTCAGTGACATGTCCTCATTAATAACTAATGTTTTCACTGATGTTTTTATGCAGTAAGAATTAGACTAATGTTCTTAATATGAGAACAATTTCATAAGTAAAAAAAATTAGAAGAATTAGGTTTGACCATAAATCAAAGATCCCTGAATAAACATTATGAAACTTTGCTCTTCTTTCAAAGGGATGACATAGCAGATCTGGAAGAAGCTAAGAAGTTGCTAAGGGAAGCTGTTGTTCTTCCAATGTGGATGCCTGACTTTTTCAAAGGGATTAGAAGGCCATGGAAGGTGAGAATTTATTAAATTGGTTTTGGTATAAGAATGCTGCTTGCATCAGAATGAAAGGCAGCATTGCTGTAGTTTTTGATGTATTTAACCCATTTTGAAAAGGTTGGGAGAAGTTTATATACACCCAAAACACCTGGATTTGAATTTGTATTGTGATGTGTTACATCTGCATAGTAGGAGAGATGGGCTTGGAGTGTTGAAACTATATAGTCTTTAGGTCACTTCCCTCAGGGATGCTGTGCTAGAGATTAGTTTTAAGAATTTTCTAGGTATATGGTTCTGTAAATAAAAAGTTAAGCAGATTAAGCAGAAATAATGCATAGTCTTATAGAAGAAAGGTATGATCAAACAGTTATTTTTCAAAAGTTGGAATATTTCTCATTGATGGTTATTTTGTTTTACTTGTCACTGACTTGAAGCTCATTGTTGACTGTTTTATAGACTACATTTGCTATATTTTGAGTTTTCACAAATGTTTTTTCTAAAGAGAGGTCTTTAGCTGTGTTTTAAAAAACGACTTCTTGACCGGGTACCATGGCTCACCCCTGTAATCCCAGCACTTTGGGAGGCTGAGGAGGGTGGATCACGAGGTCAGGAGATCGAGACCATCCTGCCCAACATGGTGAGATCTCATCTGTACTGAAAATACAAAAATTATCTGGGCATGGTGGTGCGTGCCTGTAATCCCAGCTACTCGGGAGGCTGAGGCAGGAGAATTGTTTGAAGCCGTGAATCGGAGGTTGCAGTGAGCCAAGATCGTGCAACGCAACAGAGCCAGGCTCCGTCTCAAAAAAACAAACAAACAAACAAACAAAAAAAACCACTTCTTATATCATTACAGAATATCTGACTTTATGAATTTATTTTGTCCTTGCTGTGCTTTTGTAGTATTTATTGGCAAACTGGCTTAAGAAAATAAGATATATTTCTAAAGAATCTTTTTCCTGACCAAATACTTTTTTTTCTGCAACAGTAGAATAAAATTCTTGACTAGAACTATTATTATTTTTTTAAAAATCGTGTTTGAATTTTTTAGGGATTTGTGAGAATGGATTATTTACTAAAATGGGACAATAAATTTATTTAGTTTTTGAGACTGAGTCTTACTCTGTTGCCCAGGCTGGTGTGCAGTGGCATGATCTTGGCTCACTGCAACCTCTGCCTCCTAAGTTCAAGTGATTCTTGTGCCTCAGCCTCCGGAGTGGCTGCAATTACAGGTGCGTGTCACCACGCCCAGCTAAATTTTGTAATTTTGGATTTTGCCATGTTGGCCAGGCTGGTCTTGAACTCCTGGCCTCAAGTGATCCGCCCACCTTGACCTCCCAAAGTCCTGAGATTACAAGCATGAGCCACTGTTTCAAGCCTGATAAATGTATTTTAAAGAATACATGAAAATAAGGAGACCTTAGAAATTTTTCAGGTTTATAAAATTTGTCTCAAAACGTCAATTCCAGAATTTCAGAATTGGAATGAGTCTTTGAGATCATCTTAAATCCCCATTATTTGACAGACTAGAAAATTGAAGTCCAAATAGGTTGTGACAACCATAATAGACCTTTAGAAAATTTAAAATTCAATGTGTCTCAGCTTCCTATGTTTATATGTGCCTTTCCCTCCATAGCACACGTCTGCATTGTGTGATACCATTCCTTTATTCTTCAGGCATTTACTTAGCCCTGTTATATGTAAGGTTCCTTGTTTCTCAAGACAGAGTCCCTGAGCTGTGAGACATCCTAAACAGAGAGTTGGGCAGTTACAGATCGCTTTCAGCGTTAGGCACTAGCAGAGCCTAATGGGTGGTACAGTCCACATGTGCTTGGAAAGCTCAGCAAAGCACAAACATGACATGATTAGAGAAGGCTTTATGCTTGAGGACGTGGGATTCAAGCTGCAATTTGTAGGGTTGTGAGGATTTCACTGTGTTGGATCAGACATTTTGGAGATGTAGGAACTTGAGGGGGATGAATGATGTGAGCAGTGGAATATAGTGAGAAAGTGTAAGTGTGTTTGGGAATAGATGCGTTGACGTTTTGTAAGGAAGGCAGCATAGAATATTGGCAAGGGGCACAGATCCTGGATCCAGACTGGGTGCATACGAATTCTAACCATTTCCACTTATTCTGTGATCTTGAGCAAGTTATGGAACTTCTCCATGCCTCACTTTCCTTATCTATAAAATGGGAATAATAATAGTTATCTCATAGGATATAGTGAGGTTAAAATGAGTTAATGAGGCCGTAGAATTATGTAAATGTTGAAAACATAAATTAGTGGAAGATTCCAATGGGAAGGTAGGTTGAGGCCAGACTATTTCCCAGGAGTTCTATTCTTTTTCTATAGATGTTTGGGAGACGTCTTTGAGCAGGTAGGTAGCATAATTAAACTGGTGAGTTGGAAAAAACAGTCTGGTTGCAATGAACACAGAAAGATGGGAGGCAAAGAGCATGTTCAGAAGTGATTGGCAGTAGTTTAGGCTTAAAATTCAAAGAGCCTGAATTAGGATGGTGATTATGAATTAGGAATGGAAGGACAGATGCTAGTGATATTTACTGAAGGAAGTTGGTAACCTTTTGGATGTAATATATATGTCAAGAAGAAGGCAGGGGTAAAGATAACTGGGTTTTGTCTGTGGCAGAATAGTGATGATAACATAAATGTGGAGCTCAGGAAGGAGAAAGACGCTGGTTTATTGTTCTTGATGTTGAAAGTTCAGTAGGAGCAGGGGGTGCTTCTGGGGAAAAAGATATGGAATTATTTTTGAGTTTTAAATTTTGGTATATTAACGTGGAAATGCACCAAGTTAGAAATACAGGGCCGGCCGGGCACGGTGGCTCACGCCTGTAATTCCAGCACTTTGGGAGGCTGAGGCAGGCGGATCACGAGGTCAGGAGATCGAGACCATCCTGGCTAACACGGTGAAACCCCATCTCTACTAAAAATAAAAAATTAGCCGGATGTGGTGGCGGGCGCCTGTAGTCCCAGCTACTCGGGAGGCTGAGGCAGGAGAATGGTGTGAACCCAGGAGGTGGAGCTTGCAGTGAGCTGAGATTGCGCCACTGCACTCCAGCCTGGGGGACAGAGCGAGACTCTGTCTCAAAAAAAAAAAAAAAAAAGAAATACAGGGCTGAAGCTTGTGAGAGAAGTTAAAGACGGAGATATTAAGTGCCTTTTCAAAAATACGTATCTCTGGGATGAACTTTTCTGTAACAGAATAATAGCGAGGTCCTTCTTTATAAGTTTTAAGATCAGATTATATGATTTTTATAAAGGCAACATTTAAAATTTTACTTAGAAAATAAGGAGATGCCCAAGAAATAGACTACTGTATTTTCAGTGGCTGAAGTATAAACATATGCTTGAATCACTCTTACATTGAGACTCTAGCCATCTATCCATTTATCATCCAGCCTATCTTAGCACTTCTTAGACTGCGTCATAATTTATCTATCTATATTTTCTAATAGATTAAAAGTCTCTTGAGGATTTATGTGTGATTCCTGATAGATTCAATTTTTTTTCCTCAGGGCCTAGTACTTAGTAAGTATTGGATACATTTACACTGGGTAAATACATATTTATTGAGTATTTACCTTGTGTCACGTGATAGGCTAAGTGCGGAGGATACCAAAATGAGTGAATAATAATAGCCCCCAAGAAGCTCATGGTCTTTGGGTGAATAAGCATGTGTTTAATGGAGGCCATGTGTTAAGTGCAGTATTTGTTGAGGACAGTGTGACTAGTGTCTGAAAGAGTAATGAACTCACTGCTATGGCAGGAGAGAGGAGGAGGGACTTAGTCTGCTGTGGAGAATAATATCAGGGATGGCCTCCCAGAGCAGGTGACTCTGAGCTGAGACTTGAAAGATGAATAGAAGTTAAACAGGTAGATGTGATGAAGAAAGGCTCTAAGGCAGAGTGGATATCATGTATAAACACATGAAAAGTGTAAGAGAACATAGTATATGTGAGGAATCTTCTGTAGTTCAGTGTGGCTGGAAGGATAGAGTGTTTATATGGGACATAGTAACAAAAGACACTGCTGGAGTGGTTGGTGTGACCTACTTCTCACAAAGAGCCCTGCATGCCATGCCAAAGATGTCAGTGAGCCACTGAAGAGTTTTTAGTAGAAGGGTATTTGCAAGTGTAGGAAGATATCGTTTCTGTAGCAGTATGGAGGATAGGTTGGGGATGGACATAGATGGACATGAAAAAGTAATCTCATCAGGAGGCTGGTGAAATAATCTAGCCAAACAATGAGGACAGATACCTGTAGAAAGGCATGGGCTTTTTGGTTAGTGAAGAATCAATGGATTTGTGAGAGATGTTTAGAAGGTATAAGTGACTGACTGTTTACAGGGATGTGGGAGAGACAAGTTGTATGACTCCCAGATTCCAGGCTTGAATTGAATGACTTCTGACATGACCTACCTAGAGTTGGGCCAGACTTCACAGGTTGAGAGCCCAGTTTTCCGCAAGACTGCCCTCACTTCAGACACTAGCTGCAAGCCTGGGGGTCCCTGGGTCACTCTTACAACCAGCTGGCTACAAATTCAGGGGTTCCCACTACCCTCTCAGGTTTGATAATTCTCTAGAACAACTCACAGAACTTAGGGAGGCCTTACAGTCGAGCCCAGGACAACATAGGCATGAATATCGCGGATCCCCTTACACATGGCTTTTCTTCTGCCTCTGCCGCCCCAGAGACAACAAGGCCAACCCCTCCTTTTCCTCCTCCTCCTTAGCCTATCCAAGCTGAAGACCTTTAAGGTGACACACTTACATTTAATGAATAATAAATATATTTTTATCATAATTTTCTTAATAATGTTTTCTTTTTTCTATGTTTATTGTAAGAATACAATATACAATACATATACAAAATACGTGTTTACAGTTTTTGTTATCAGCAAGACTTCAAGTCAACAATAGGCTATTCATTGTTATGTTTTTTTGGGAATCAAAAATTATATGCAGATTTTTGACTGTGTAGGGGATTGGTGCCCCAACCCCTGAGTCGTTCAGGGAGCAGCTGCACTTACAATGATATTGTTATTATAGCCAAAGGATATAAATCGGAACCAGCCAAAAGGAGAAACTTACAGGGCGAGGTCTAGAAGGATGCGCAAGGTGACGCTTCTTTCGCCCTCTCTTCCTGGAGTCAGGATGCTTTACTCTCCTGGAAGTGTGACAATATGGAGATTATGGCATCACATGGACGTGTGATAGTACTGCTGTAGTTTGGATATGGTTTGGTTATTTGTCCCACCAAATCTCATGTTGAAATTTGATTCTTGATGTGGTAGTGTTGGGAGGTGGTGCCTAATGGGAGGAGTTTGGGCCATGGGGGCAGATCCCTCATGAATGGCTTGGTGTCGACCTCGTGGTAATGAGTATGTCCTCCCTCTGTTCATTCTCATGAGAAGTGGCTGTTGCCCCTCTCTCTTGCTTCTGCTCTTGCCATGTGAGTTCTGCAAGCTGCTGGCTCCCTTTCACCTTTCTCTATAAGTGGAAGCAGCATGAGGCCATCACTAGAAGCTGAACGGGTGCAGGCACCATGCTTCCTTTACAGCCCGCAGAACTGTGAGCCAAATAAACCTTTTTTTCTTTAAAATTACCCAGCCTCAGGTATTTCTTTGTAGCAACACAAATGGACTAAGAGAAATACATAGAGTATTGCCAATTAGGGACGCTCACGTGATCAATTGAATCATTGCCCATGGTTCTTAATCTCTTGTTCTCTTCCTCTCCCCAGAGGTTGAGTTGATATCACATGGCTCAAAGCCCCAGCTCTGTAATCACATGGTTGGTTTTCCTGGCATGGTCACCCCCCATCCTGAGTTGTCTTGTTGGTGTTAACTATATAGGAGCCCACCATGAGTCACCTGATTAGCATAAAATTTCAGGGCCTATTGTGATAACAAAAATAATCCTGTCGGTAGGGTATTTCCACGGTTTTAGAGGCTATTTTCCAGGGACCGGGGACAAAGGCCAGCTAAATTCTTTATTATACAGAGTGCAGGGAACTGATATTGGAAATAGAGAAAGGAGCAGGTTTAAATAGAAACAAAATGTGTTTCAGTAAATACTCAGCAGCTAATTCGAAATAGAGGCCGGGAGCTTCAGATAAAATTCAGTAAAATTGTGAGATAGAAAGGTTGGTTGATGATATGGGTATGGATGAGTTTGTTCAGGAGTTTTTAAAGGGAAAGGTTTAGAATTGCTTTGGGAATGTAAAGGGCAGAGGAAAGAGGAGATCTGAGGCGGTGAACATAGCCAGAGAGCAGAAGTGTCAGGAAAAGGGCAGTGTCAGGGTTTCAAGAAGAGGGGGATTAATACCATGTATTAATCAAAGCAGCGTCAAAGAGAAGTCAGGGAGGCCCGACTGAAGAGTGGTCATTAGGTTAGTAAATGAAGTATTTTTAGTGAATTGGTGAAGACTAAAGTCATGTTGTAGCTTATGAAGAAGAAATAGCATAAACCATTGAAGGTCGGCTGTGAGAGGAAGGAGAGGTTGATAGTAGCTAGAGGATTTGTAGAGTCAAGTGAAGGATTTTTTTTTTTTTGGTGGCAATTTTATCTATCTTTTTAAAACATTTGTGTTTTTGAATTGATACATAATAAATGTACATACTTTTGGGGTTCATGTGATAATATATTTGCATAATTTGTAAAGATCCAATCAGTGTAAATGGGATATCCACTACCTTTAACATTTGTCTTCATGCTAAGAACATTCAAATTATTAAATTATTCTCTTCTAGTTATTTTGAAATATACAATAGACTATTGTAAACTATGGTCACACTACTGATCTATCAAGTTGTACTCATTAATCAGCCTCTCTTAATTCTCCCTTGACCCCTACCCTTCCCAGCCTCTGGTAACCATCAGTCTATTGTGTCTTTATGAGATCCTTTTTTAGCTCCCACAAATGAATGAAAACATGTGATATGTGTCTTTTTGTGCTTGGTGTATTTCACTTAACGTAGTGACTTCCACCTCCATCCATGTTGCTACAAATGACAAGATTTTATTCTTTTTTATGGCTGTATAGTATTCCATTATATATACACCACATTTTCTTTCTCCATTCATCCATTGTTGGGCACTTAGGTTGATTTCATGTTTTGGCTGTTGTGAACGGTGCTGTGATAAAGACAGGAGTGCAAATAACTCTTTGATATATTGATTCCCTTTTTTTTTTTTTCTTTTTTTGGATATATACCCAGTAGTAGAATTGCTGGATCATATGGTAGATCTACTTTTAGTTTTTTGAGGAACTTCCACACAGTTTTCCACGGTGGCTTCCACCAACAGTATAGGAGCATTCCCCTTTTTCCATATCCTCACCATCATCTATTATTAGCTATCTTTTTGATGAAAGCCATTTTAATTGGAGTGAGATGATCTCATTTTGGTTTTGACTTGAATTTCTCTAATGATTAGTGATGCTGAGCGTTTTATATCTATTGGACGTTTGTATGTCTTTTGAGAAATGTCTATTCAGACCTTTTGCCCATTTTAAAATTGGATTATTTGTCTTTTTGCTGTTGAGTTGCTTGAGCTGCTTATGTGTTCTGGTTACTAATCCCTTGTCAGATGGATATTTTGCAAATATTTTCTCCCATTGTGGGAGTGTCTCTTTGTTGTTTCCTTTGCTGTGCAGAAGCTTTTTAGTTTTATATAATCTGTTTATCTGTTTTTGCTTTGGTTGTCTGTGCTTTTGAGGTCTTACACAAAAAATCTGCCTGGACTGATGTCCTGTAGCATTTCCCCAGTGTTTTCTTCTAGTAGTTTCATAGTTTCAGGTTTTTAACCTATTTTGATTTGATTTTCGTATATGGCCTTTAATCCATTTTGATTTTTGTATATGGTGAGAGATCGACATCTAGTGTCATTCTTCTGTATATGGTTATCCAGTTTTTCCAGCAACATTTATTGAAGAGACTGTTCTTTCCTTAAGGGCTTTTTGTAACGTGACAGATTAAAGTGTATTTATATACCGAGGGGAAAGAGCCAGTAGACAAAGAGATACAGGAAAGAGAGAAATTAATTAAAGGAGTAATGTCATGAGAAGGTGAAGTTTATAAATATCATACAGTAGCTATGAACAGATGCTAATGTTAGAAATGAACTCCTATAGGAGGTGGCCACATTAATGGCATTACAGGATGGCCCTCTCAGAGAGAATGGAAAAAGGCATCGCAGAAATAAGAACTTTGCTCTGGCTATGCCTATAGCATCAATTGGTCGTTTTCATGGTTTTTAAAATCTCAACCTCATGCAAAGTTGAGGGCTCCCTAACAAAACAAAATATTTTTTTTAAAACTAATGTTTCAAATCTTAGTGATTCCTGGTTGATCTGTGTGTCAAAATTCTATAGCTAGAAAAGCATTTGGACAGTTTCTGAACTTGGAGTTCATGGAACTTTGACATACACATAGTTTTCAAAGCTTAAATCCCCAGAAGCTTGTCAAACCAAAGTAGCAATTGGATCAGAATTCCTCTTAAGGAATCACCAAATATTATGCACAAAAATTTAGTGTGAGCTATGTGTTTAAACTCTAAAGTACTGGAAGAAAATAATTAAAGAACCCATTAGTTTTTTAAGACTAGAGGATTGGTTTCCTTGAATAATTTTTATTCCTCACTGATTTGTTTTTATAGAATACTTTTATGTTTGTTTTCAAAACTAAGAAGTAACTAAAGTTTGGTTTTTATTCTGCATTTACTGGCTCTTTCATCACTATCACTGTTTTATATAAACTGTCTAACACTTTAAAATGATACAAATCTTGCTAATTTGATTATGTTTGAATCACCACTGGATTTTTTACTGTTACCTTATTAACTCATAAATGGGTCTTTATTTTTTACTGAAAGCTGTATATTATAAATGCACTGTGGAAGATAGCTTCTGTCCCTCATAGAGGGTAAGGAATGTGTAATTCTGCCACATGTGATAGAAAATGTCTTATTTTTAATATGTGTAAACAGAACAGTTGCTTTTAAGCAGTGCTCAGTATTATATGTATATATCATATGCCAGGTTCAGGAAACTGAGATTCTGTCTAAATATATGAGAAAACTGTTTGTTGTCTAGGCTTTTTGTTAGATTATCTCTGCTCTGACTTGAGACATTTTGTGAAATTTCTTCATTTTTTTCTAGCTATAAAATGATACTCTTGCTAAATGCATCATGATTTTACTGTGACAATTTTGAGTTTATCTTTTGATGGAAAAATCTTAATGTACATTAATAGCTGATGATAATTTATAAAACTTTTTTAATTTGATAAATCATTTAATTCATCTTTTGAAATGTCAGGGTGTACTGATGGTTGGACCCCCAGGCACTGGTAAAACTATGCTAGCTAAAGCTGTTGCCACTGAATGTGGTACAACGTTCTTCAACGTTTCCTCTTCTACGCTGACATCTAAATATAGAGGTGAATCTGAGAAGTTAGTTCGTCTGTTGTTTGAGATGGTGAGTGATAAATTCAGATTTTAAAGTAGTGTGTGTAGGCCTATGATGCTCCCATAAATCAGTTCTGTCCACCTGGAATCTTTTTTGAAAAGGGCAGTGTAGTTCTATTTTAATAGTTCTTGACACACTGACGAGAAATGGGATGATGAGTTTTGTGGGGTAGTTGGTGTATCTTCAGTGTATCTTTTTCTTTAAGGTACAGCAAGGCCTTTTGGCATCCTGTCCACTGAGGGTGGAGGAAGAGACTTTGGTTGTGTGTGTGGGTTGACTGGTATTTCTGCATCTCTAGTGAGCTGATGGAAGAGAAGAATATTTTAATATGTATTTTAAAAATCAGAGCCTGACCTGTCATTAAAGTTTATTCCTTTTTCATATGGGATTTGCAGTAACTTAAGAATGTATATGTGAGGATTGAGATTGACTTATTTTTGAAAAATTTTTCATTAAGGAAATTTTCAGACATGAATGTAGAAAGCATAGTACAATGAACCCCTATGTATCTATCACCCAACTTCACCAGCCATATAACCTTTATTTTTAGAAATTTCTTTTTTCTCATGGGAATGATTGATTTAGCCTTTGCCATAACCAGGTGATGGCATTAAAACAGTGAGAAGTTTCTGCTCTCTTTTGCCATTGCTTTAAAAGATTTTTTTAAATACTCCGATTGTTTTATGAGATTATTGAATGATTTCTTTAAAATATTTTCATAAAGGCTAGATTTTATGCCCCTACCACGATCTTCATTGATGAGATAGATTCTATCTGCAGTCGAAGAGGAACCTCTGATGAACATGAGGCAAGTCGCAGGGTCAAGTCTGAACTGCTCATTCAGATGGATGGTAATTGATATTTCATTATTGTTTCGAAACTCTTATTTTTCAATATTTTGTGTAAACTCATAATCAAAGGATGGATTAGAAGGCAACCTAAGTTTAATTATTTGTTCATTCACCCATTTGTTCATTTGTTCATGCACCCAGAAAGCATTGCACCATTTCAGGTTCTGAGGTTACAAAGAAAAAGGCTACTATGGCCTTCAAGGAACTTACTATTTGGAGCAAAGGTTCTAGAGGCGTGATCTAGAGTCCTAGGGATCCTTGAGACCCTTTAAAGAATCTGCAAGGTCAAAACTATTTTCATAGGAATATCAAGTCATTGTTTGCCTTTTCTTTTTCACTCTCATTCTCTCACAATGTACAGTAGAGTTTTCTAGAGGCTGTAAGATGTAGGGTATCATAAAAGGTAGAAAGCAGAAGCAGATATGAGAATCCAGCTTTTCTCTAGTTAGACATTAAAGAGATATGCAAAAATGTAAAAAAAAAAAAGTCCCTCTACTTTTTAAAAATATTTTGGAAAACATACTTTTCATTAAAATATGTAAATAAGTAATGAATTTATCATTTTTAAGTGAACTAATATTTTTAAATTTCAATTTTAGGTTTTTTCTTTTTTTTCTTATAATTTACCCATGCACCATCTATTTTAAGTTTTAAAGATACTGATAGATACACTCCACACACAAAAAAGCTGTTTGGGGTTCTTAATAATTTTTTTTTTTTTAAGGTTTAGAGTCTTGCTCTGTTGCCCAGGCTGGAGTACAGTGGTGTGAACACAGCTTGCTGCAGCCTTGACCTCCTGGGCTCAAGCAATCCTCCTGCCTCAGCCTCCTAAGTAGCTGGGACCACAGGCGCATGCCACCACATCTGGTTAAGTTTTATTTTTTTGTAAAGACAGGGTCTCGTCGTGTTTCCCAGGCTGTAGTTGTACTCTTGAGCTGAGGTGATCCTCTGGACTCAGCCTCTCTAAGTGCTGGGATTATAGACATGAGCCACTGCATGCAGCCTCAGTAATTTTTAAGAGTATAAAAGGGTCCTGAGATCAAACAGTGTGAGAACCACTGATCTGGATGAGAAGCAGGCAACTGATCAGATGAGTATAATACATTTTGGTACATTCTGGGGTAGAAGTAAAGTCTGGGTGCAGTGGAAACACAGGAGAGGCACCACCAAGACTAAGGGGGAGTCATGGAAAGAGATAGCCGAGTTGGACTTTGAAGCATTGGTAGGAGTTATCCAGACAGAGAAAAAGGGCCCTGAGGAGCCTTAGAAGGAAGAGGGTTATGGGCTCAGAGCTGCCGTTTAGAGATAAGTAACTCTGGTAGTTAGTTGTGTGGTAGACAAGAGGCTGTTCAAGCAAAACATTAGAACAGATAAAATATGTTTAAAAATATCCAGGGTGAGGGACTGAGTGCAGTGGCTCATGCGTGTAGTCTCAGCACTTTGGGAGGCTGAGGTGGGAGGATCACTTGAGGCTAGGAGTTCAAAACCAGCCTGGTTAACATAGCAAGACTTGAAGCAACAACTTTAAAAAGTAGCTGGGTGTGGTGGCACGTGCCTGTAGTCCCAGCTACTCAGGAGGCTAAGGTGGGAGGATAGCTTGAGCCGCAGGAGTTGGAGGCCACAGTGAGCTGTAATTGTGCCATAGCACTCCAGCCTGGGCAACAGAGCAAGAACCTGTCTCATAACAACAACAACAAAACACCAGTAATATCCAAGTTGTATTGTTTCAAAACAGTCATGGTTATTCATCAACTATGGATACTTACTGAATACTTACAATGTACTATGAGACCCTTCCCTCAATGAGTTTACCATTTTAACTTTTGCTAAAATATGAGAGAAAGGAATGAGTATGTTTTATTTTTGAGGTGGGATATAGGGGAAAACATTAGGTGTTTAAAATTGGAAAAGGAAATTACTGAATACAAATTTAGTCAGCTGAATTTCATTGAGGGATATTTGTGATTATTGTTGATTATTAGTTGGACAGCTTGATTCTTTGTCATAATGATTGGAGTTTAGTAATAAGAAAATGTTGTAAGTTTCAGTGAGCCAACATCATGCCAGAGCACTCCAGCCTGAACAATGGAACCAGACCTTGTTTTTTTAAAAAATAACTATATTGAGCTAGGTTGCTTTAAATCCACTAGTACTTTATTATGCCAGACTAGAAAGTCTTATCAGTAAAATTTACGGGTTTTTTATCTTTTATTTTTCACTACATATTTTCTAGAGTTTCTGTTGTGTGACCTGAAATTTTTTATTCTAAAGAGGAGACACTGTGTACGTACATGTAGTTCGTTTGGTTATTTTTATCTGTGATTACTGGGTTCATTCTTAAATGTCTTGTTTGTTTTTTACAAGTCACTTAAAAGTTTAAAGGACAACATCATGGAAATATAACCTGTCTTTCAAAATTATAATTGCATGCTAGAATATTAAGTAAATGTGAACCCTCTGTTTCCACTTCTTGAGAAAATAGACTAAAAAACTAAAGTAAAATATTTGCGGAACTTTATGATTTCAAAGAAATAAGAGGAATAAAACAGAGCCTAATCTCCCATGCCTTTTCTTTTCAGAGGAAATATACATTCATTTTCTTACAGAAAAATGGATATTTTTATTGGATTAAAATCCTGCACTGGGTTACACAAGAAAAAAACAAAAAAAGAAAAGTCCCACACTAGGTTATGTGAATTCTTCTACTTCTTTGTTTTGTAGTTATCCGTTGATGAGTCTGGTTTTGCCACCACACAGAGGTTAGGACTACACTGTCTTCTTCATCATTGATTCTGTCACTTTGGCTAACAGAAATGTTAACTGAATGAAAGTGTAAAGGGTTGTAAGAAAAACACTATCTTTTCCTCCCTTCCTGTGTATAGGAGTTGGAGGAGCTTTAGAAAATGATGATCCTTCCAGAATGGTTATGGTATTGGCTGCTACGAATTTCCCGTGGGACATTGATGAAGCTTTGCGAAGAAGGTTAGAAAAAAGGATATATATACCTCTCCCAACAGGTATGATGCCTTCTCTATTTTGAGCTGTCTGTTACTTTCTGTTACCTTTCCCATGTATCTGAATCTTTATTCCATTGCCATTCTGCTTAAAGAAGCAGAATAACATCACAAAACTAATTTGTAGTAGATGTGAACACAGGCCACAGTACTCTATTGAAATTTCTTACGTTTCAGAGAAATTCTTAAATTTGGAACAATATTCATGTTAATAAATATGGTAGCACTTTTAAGTTTTCACTTTTAAACTTGAAGGTTTTTTAAAATCTTTTTCAAAACATGCTGTTTTGGAGTGAGCGTGTGTGTGTGTGTATTTTTATTTTTTTATTTTTGAGACAGAGTCTTACTCTGTTGCCCAAGCTGGAGTGCAGTGGCGTTATCTGAGGTCACTGCAACCTCCACCTCCTAAGTTCAAGTGATTCTTGTGCCTTAGCCTTCCGAATAGCTGGGATTACAGGTGTGTGCCACCACACCCAGCTAATTTTTGTGTTTTTAGTAGAGACAGGGTTTTGCCATGTTTTCTAGGCTGGTCTCGAACTCCTGGCCTCAAGTGATTTCCTGTCTCGGCCTCACAAAGTGCTGGGATTACAGGTGTGAACTGCCATGCCTGGCCTGGAAAATATAATTTCATCCTGTTAATGAATGCTGAAATTTCCGTACATGAATTTTTTCTTTTTATTTTGAGGTAAAATGTGCATAGAATGAAATGTACTTAAGTATATAATTTGAAAGAGTACAAATAAGTACTCCTGTTTAATCAATACCCTAATCAAGATGTAGGGCACTTCTATCATCCTATAAAGTTCCTGTGTGCTCCTACCAGCTAACCCTCCAATAGGCATTCACTGTACGTGATTTTTATCACCATAGATTAGTTCTTTCTCTTGTTAAACTTCATATAAATGGAATCGTAACAGCATGTACTCACTGTGTCTGGCTCCTTTCACTTGAGGTTCATCCATGTGATCACATGTATCAGCAGTTTATTCCTGGTTTGATTATACCACAATTTCTTTATTGTCCTTTTGATTGGTATTTAAGTTATTTCTAGTTTTTTGGCTATTATGAATAAAGCTGTAAACTTTCTTGTACATATCTTTTTTATGGATGAATGTTTTCAATTCTTTTGGATATAATATAAGAAAAGAAAGGATGGGTCATAGGGTAGGCATATGTTTAGCTTTTATAGGAAATACCCAAATTATTTTTCAGAATGGTTGTACCATTTTGTATTCCATCATCAATAAATGGTAATTCAAATACTTCCGTATCCTTGCCGACATGTGGTGTCAGTATTTTAATTTCAGTCATTCTAGTAAGTATGAAATGCTCTCTCATGATTTTAATTGGTATTTCTCTGATGACTTACGTAGAGTACCTTTTTATGTGCTTTTCATGGTCATGGTATACTTTTTGTGTAGTGTCATTTCTTTTTCCCAGTTTTTAATTGGATTATTTGTTGCTTTATTAATGCTTTTTATGTTATTAGATCTGTGCATTGTGAATATTTTCTTCCAGTTTGTGGTTTGCTTTTGATTTTCTTTATGGTATCTCTTAATAAGTAGACATTTTACATTTTGATGAAGTCCTGTTGACAATTTTTTTAAATGAATAGTACTTTTAGTGTCTTAAGAAATCTTATCTATCCCAAAGCTGCAAAGTTTTTCTCCTGTTTTCTTTTGGAAACTGTATTTATGTCTGTGATTCCTCTTGAATGAATGTGTGTGTGTGCGTGTGTGTGTGTGTGTGCAGATGAGTAATTTTTTTCATATATACAGTTGTAGCATCACTTACTGGAAGTTTTATTTTTTCATTGAATTACTTCAGCACCTTCATTGAAAATTATTTTGTTGTGTATGTGTGGGTCTGTTTCTGAATACTATTCTGTTCCATCGTTTTTTAAATCCACACACATGGTTACCTAAGTTACTTGTTTTTTTCTTGAGCAAGCTTTGGTAACTTGTGTCTTTCAGAGAATTTGTCTATTTTTTATAAGTTGTCAGATTGTTTTGGATTTGACCTAATGTGAATGTGGAAGCTGATTAAATAGTTATGAGAGATGGTGGATTTCATGTCTGGTTCTGGAACTTGAAGTCAATAAGGAGGGCACTTAGGAAGAGATGATGAATGTGAAGTGGTAGAAGTAAGGACAAACTCTACCTGTGGAGGTAGAATCCATGAGGATACATTGAAATCTGTGTTGAACTCTTTTTTTTCTGCTGAGACTCCTAACCTTGATGAATGGGCTTTCTGACAGAAGAAGCTAGCTAAATGTATACCTGGCTCGAGTCAAGAAAGCTGAAGGGGCCGGATGCGGTGGCTCATGCCTGTAATTCCAGCACTATAGGAAGCCGAGGCGGGCGGATCACAAGGTCAGGAGATCAAGACCATCTTGGCTAACACAGTGAAACCCCGTCTCTACTAAAAATATAAAAAATTAGCCAGGCGTGGTAGTGGGCGCCTGTAGTCCCAGGTACTCGGGAGGCTGAGGCAGAAGAATGGCATGAACCCGGGAGGCGGACCTTGCAGTGAGCTGAGATCGTGCCACTGCACTCCAGCCTGGGTGACAGAGTGAGACTCCATCTCAAAAAAAAAAAAAGCTGAAGGAAGAAATGTGGCAGAAACTACAAAGAGCTGAAGGTGCAAGTGCTGCCCCACACTAACAAGGAGAACGGAGAACCAAGAAATAAGTGACAGTATGTGCCAGCTTTCTGAGATGATTCATTTTTGCCTTTCACGTCTCAGACATAACTCATGTGGTCCACAATAACCCAGAACTATGCAATAAAGAGAATTCTGGGAAATGAAATTCCAGCTTCACTTAAGTTGGCATAATACAAATCTACACACCTTATTTTCCTTTTTTTGGCCATAGGATCTGTAGTGATGGCTCATTTTTCATTCCTAATATTAGTAATTTGTCTCTATTGTTCTTCATAATTTTTGGTTGAGATTTATCAATATTGTTAATCTTTTCAAAGAACCAAATTTTTGCTTTGTTAGTTTTCTATTTTCTATTTCAGTGATTTCTTCTCTCTTTAAAACAATTTTTTTTGCTTTATACTTTGAGTATAATTTTTTCTTTCTGAAGTTAGAAACTAAGATTATTGATTTTAGGGATAGCCCTCTCCCACTTTTTTTTTTAAGAGACAGAATCTTGCTCTGTTACCCAGGAGTGCAGTGGCATGATCGTAGCTCACTGCAGCCTCAAACTTTTGGGATCAACAGATCCTCCCACCTCAGCCTCTTGAGTAGGGACTGCACACACATGCCACTGTGCCTGGCTCATTTTTTTTATTTTTATTTTTTGTAGAGACAGAGGCTTGCTGTGTTTCCCAGGCTGGTCTCAAACTCCTGGCCTCAAGCAATCCTCCCGATAGCACTGGGATTGCACATGTGAGCCACTGCACCTGGCCTTTTTTTCTTTTTTTAATGTGTACATTTTAAAGCTATAAATTTCTCATTAAGTACTGCTTTGCTTTTATCTCACAAATTTTGCTATATCTTTTTTTTCTATTAAGTTAGAACTATTTTCTAATTTTCTTTTTTTTCCCCCTTTCTTTGGTCCTTGAGTTATTTAGCATTTAAATTGGTTTGGGAGCCAAATAACTGGGGTATTTTCTAGATATCTTTTTGTTGATTTTTAATTTAATTCCATTGCAGTCAGGAACATACTCTGAATGATGTCAATTTTTGAGCTGCTTGAGATTTGCCCTTCAGCCTATAGTCTATCTTGGTGAATGCTCCAGATGCAATTGAATAGATTGTTTATTCTGAGCTTGTTATAACATTCTATAAATGTCAGCTAGATGAAGTTGGTGTGATAGTGTTATTCCAATAATAAGATCCTTGCTGACTTTTTAATCTAGTTTTTCTATCAATTACTGAGAGTGGCTTATGGAAATCTTCATCTGTGACTGGGAACTTGTTCATTTCTCCCTTTAGTTCTTTCAGTTTCTGTGTTATGTTTTGCTTCATGTATTTTGATGTTCTGTTGTTAAGTAAATAAATTATCATTGTTATATCTTCTTGGTCCTATTACCACTATGAAATGCCTCTCTATCTCTGAGAATACACTTTGACTTGGTATCTGCGTTGACTGCTATTAATTTAGCCTCACTGTCTTTCTTTTCCTATTGTTGGTGTGCTAATACGCTTTTCATCTTTAATTTTTACCCCAACCTGTCTTTATATTTACAGTGCAGTTTTTATAGACAGCATATAGTTGAGCCTTGCTGTTTGTCCAGTCTATCTCTCTCTGTTTGTTTGTTTGAGTTGGAGCCTCACTCCGTTGCCCAGGCAGTAGTGTAGTGGCGCGATCTCAGCTTACTGCAACCTCTGCCTCCCAGGTTCAAGCGATTCTCCTGCCTCAGCCTCCCAAGTAGCTGGGACTACAGGCATGTGCCACCATACCTAGCTAATTTTTTTGTATTTGTAGTAGAGACAGGGTTTTGCCATGTTGTCCAGGCTGGTCTTGAATTCCTGAGGTCAGGTGATTTGCCCACCTTGGCCTCTCAAAGTGCTGAGATTATGGGTGTGAGCCACTGCGTCTGGCTGTCTCTGCTTTTTAATAGAAGTATTTATTCCATTTAAATTTAATGTAATTAGTGATATAACTGGGTTGAAGTCTGCCATCTTGCTGTTGTACTGTTTGTTTCTCTGTACCCCCCTTGCTAATTTCTTTTGGGCTAATTGACTGTTTTTACTATTCATTTTAATGCCATTAGTGGATTTTTAGCTGTACCTGACTATATTTATTTTAGTAGTTGCTCTAGCAATTACAGTATGCATAATTTTATATAGTTGTGTGTGCTTTTATCTTTTAAATTGTATGCCTAAATCAAAAGTGATTTATATACCACCACCATTATAGTACTACAGGATTCTGTACCTATCTTATATTTACCTTTATTAGAGAACTTTATATTTTCATTTGCTTTTGTGTTGCAGTCTAGTATCCTTTTGTTTCAATTTGAAGGACTCCATTCAGCAATTTTTGCAAG